TGTGTGTGTGTGTGTGTGTGTGTGTGTGTGTGTGTGTGTGTGTGTGTTGGAAGTAATCTAAAACACCTGTCTCTCTGACAGATAAGAAACGCAGCATTTTACCTCCCCCGGTGTTTTGTACTACTGTATACCCCACTGGGATGTACAGCACACACACCTACACACACATTGACACACAACAAGTTTTGATTAATCTACAGGTTTCAACAGCTCCATTGGAGGGGAATAAATGTTACAACCGACAGTAGAACCTTTCTCATCTTCTGCTCTTTATTTGTCTGCAGCCTCTCTTTGTCTCAAAACCTTGTTTAATGACCCTCAACTAAATAATGTTGAACCCCGGATGTAAGTCCAAAATATCAATATAAAAGTCCTCATTAGTCGTTTTAAATCATTAACCAAACAATATAATATATTTCTAAAATTTAAATATGCCTTTTGTTACTTTCAATTGTGCTTTATAGAGCTAACATTTTTCTGCTTGATCTGCTCATTTTGGGCACTGTGGAGCAAAACAAATGCACTGCTCGAGGGACCTTGAAATGAAGGAGTTTGAAGCCTGCATTCAGCGCACAATGATGTCTATGTATAATGCAACAGTGCTCGCAGCAGGCCAGACACGTAGCGTAGCATCCACAATCAGGATGGGGAGGTGATTATGGCTATTGTATGGGAGGAAATTAAAATGAGCCCCAGGTCGTTACTATATCGATCTGCCAGGAGAGAGACACAGAGAGAGAATGTGAGAGAGAGAGAGAGAGAGAAGGAGAGGAACATAGAGCGGGGAAGGTGAGAGATGGATGCTGAAAAGTTCAGGTGTATATTTGTTCTTTAACCAATCTAATGTTGTAAGAGCTTCAGCAGGAGGGGCGTTTTGTCAAGTTGGATTCTGGACTAATATTAGAATTTGATTTGGATCAGGGAAGGTTGGAGAATGTGGTTGGGATTTCATTTCATCATTAGTTCTCAGCTTGTGTGCATCCTTTAATATTTTGTTCATGTTGTTTGTTTGTTTTAATAATTTGATAAAACTTCCTTTGTCCTCTCTGCCAACAGGTGGACCTCCATACCTTAAAGGTACTTACAGGCATCGCCACCCAGGGCGCCATTTCAAAGGAAACTCAAAAGGCTTACCATGTCACCACCTTCAAGCTGGAGGTCAGCACCAACGGAGAGGACTGGATGGTCTACAGACATGGCAAAAATCATAAGGTAAGCACAAAGCACATGCACAAACACACATATTCCTAAAACTCAAAGTAATCGGGACGAGGGAGAAAGTCTGGATGCTCTCAGGTGACACACATGCCTAGGACATGCACACTCATGGAAGCGGCAGAGAAACATATGAGACGGGATATATGCAGCAGCACTTGACCACAAGGCCAAAATTCAACCGGTGTCTGCAATTACAGCCGTTCCACCGCCGCTCAGTGGGCTTCATTTAAGGGTTTACGACCAAGCCAGAATCAGCACACGTCTCCCAGCCCCAAGCCTTACCTTACATCATTGAATGCAGCTACACTTACAGTAGACTGCACAGTCTGCTTTTCACATCCCATCTGGTCTGTGTTACTCACCGGTCAGAGTTCTGCCGAATGTCGACCTGGTTGGACAGGTTTCTAAGCCGTTTCTCTCTGTGGTGTTAAAGCATGATGAATCATCAGTGAGCGAGCTGCAATCTGTGGGGGCCGGGTAGAAATGAAGCAGATGGTACCCAGGGTCTTTAAAATGGTTGCAACTGCAATTAAAGTAGAGGAGCGTTCCAGTGGTTGTGGCTGTTTTTTCCATCAGGGCCGCTCTCCAACTGCTATAGCGGTCACACATGTTTGTCCCGCGGGCTAACGCCACGTCTAGCTTTGTGCTATAAACCCACTAATACATGCACACACACTCACAGATGCATACATCCAGTACAGTGCAAATGCTTCTTGTGCTCTGAGAAGGAAACAGGAGATTCAGTCTAACCATCTGGGGTTCCTATGTGGACTGCAGATTCCATAAGGCTTATCGATGTAGCTAACTCCCAGAGAAATGATTGATGGGTAAAACACGGGGAGTTGTGGAGAAAGGCAGTCTGGGAGAAAATAAATACATTTGTTAAGGAATAATAGAAGAATGAGGACCAAGGAGGTGAGTGTAAAGCAAGTATTTTTTTTTAAATCAGGTTTAGAGCTTTGAAGCTTGAGTTGAATAGAAAAATAATAATTTTGGTAGTTTAATTGGTGCAGTATGAACCAATTCAATCAGTCAATTCACCATCATCACTCACTTGTGTTGACAATCAAATAGCAATATTCTGCTGACACTAACCTATTCAACAATAACAATCCAATACTATTATAACCGTAATATTAAAGATGATGTTTTGAGGTCAGATGTTGGTCTCACCACCCGTAATCACTTTTGATTTCCCCATAACCCTGGAAAGCTGCGTTCACAGCTGAAGGCCTATGGGAGGCACAGTGTGTACGTGTGTGTCTTTGAAGAGGAGGAGGGGTTTAGAATAAATCAGCAGCAGTTTCTGGTGGAATATCCCTCTCTTGTCACACGAACACACACACACACATACTGTATATGCGCATCCTCAAACCAAGTGGTAACGGCCTATTGAGCCCCCCTGGTGAGACAGTCTGTGCTGTAATCTGATGGTTCAGCTCAGGGTCCTCAGTTGTTTCATTTGATCCTCTTCTGTATATCATAATCTCATCTGTACAATATGGATATTAACCAGATATATTGGGTGTTTTGTCATACTGACACAGTCTTTCTACTATGTTGTTCTATTCTGTACACACATCTATTGCATGTCTTTCCTTCCAGGGAGAGGGATCTCTCTATTGTTGCTCTTCCTAAAGAGTTTATTTCTATGCATATAGAGGGTCTAAAGACAGAGGGTGTAGTATACAGGCACATTTTTGATTTTCTGATATTGAGCTATGTAAAAATGAAAATGCTTTGAACATACTGCATACGGGCTTACAATTTGGTATACATGTTATGGTGCTTCCATACTTGAGATGAAAGAGGAAGCAGATGAAGGTAGAGCAGAGAGAGCTGAAAAAAACACAAAGAGAGTGATGGTCATTTATGGGATGATGAAACGATGGCGTCAGCGTCTTGGGGCCAAATGTCAGCTGACATACCTCAGGCGGCCAATCGGCAATCTCAACTGTCTGCCTTTTATGTTAGAAAGACATAAAAGTAACTCGATGGTCAATGGCCAAGAAGAGCGTTTTATGGTTTGGGTGTGTAAAATGCTGTGTCTGCATTCACAGGACAACCCAAGGATATATTTCTTCATAATTGAGAACAGATCCTGGATCATTTCTAAGCATGTAAAGTAACTTAAATGTACACAAATGTCCCATGGAATGATTTATTAATTATTTTATTTGAAGGTACAGTAGCTTTTCTACCAATGCAAGAGATATATAGATGTCTCCCAACTCCTCTCTCCTTAACTTGTTGAACCTGCTCTGAACTGTTCATTTATCCATTTATCTCTCACCTGACATTTTCACTCACTCACCTCTTCACTAGTTCTCTCAAAACTCTGTCATCCATCAAATCCTCCCTCCTTGCCCACACACTTGCTCTCTTCACATCTTCATTCACCGCATCCCTCCACTCGTGCACTCTTTTCCATCCCTCTTCTTTCCTCTCTCTCGGCACTCCATCACTTGTTCTCCTCCCCCCCCCCCATATGTTTCTGAGAAAGTCATCATGAGCCAGACAGGCAAGTTCATGCGGCTCGAACACATGATTTTTTTGTGCGTGTGTGTGTGTGTTAATCTGGAGGAATTATTAAATTTATGTTTTATGTGCAACAGTCCTGAAAGAAGGACAGAAATGAATGGTAGCCACATGGATATTAAGAAAAGAAACGTATAGAGCAGAGCATACTGTCTGTGCTCATGCACAACACAACAGCAAGAAGACACACGTGCCTGCTTGTTGTATATGTTAACATTTGTCTCACATAAGTAACTCTTAAATAAAACTGCCACTGTGCACACAGAGACACGCACACTGATTTTAAACATCTGGGAGCCAGCCCATGTCACACAACGTCAAGATGATTTGTGTGATCTGCAATGTATTTGATAATGTTATTAAGGGCCTGTTGTGAACCAGATGGGACATATGGAATATATGTTAAAGTGCAGGGACTTTTTGGAGAGGAGAAGAATAATTCACACAGCATTTGTTCCCATTGTACTGACGTTCTCACAAATGACAGGTACTGGCTCAAGACATGCACTAGAGAAAGAGGGGAAAGAAGCAGACAGAAAGTATAAGACACAAGGGGAATGTCAGGCGAATGTGATTATATTGGAATCATCATTGCAGAACCAGTATGCTGTCCCGTTTCTCTGGGATTAGTTGTGATTCTTAGCCAATTTGTATTTTATGTTTTTTCTGTGTCTTTTCATCCATAAATGTTTCTGTATTCCTCTGTTCCTGTTTTTAATTGGAAGCTGCCATTTTTCATATCTCCTCTTGATGATCAGGTCATTCCAGATCATTTTTTACTGCTCATGGGAAATATCATTAGAGCACCAACATGGGAGCATTATACAGAAACAGGAAGAAAAAAGATTATCAGTATAACTTTAACTATCCTATGATTCAGTGCACAAAATTGACCGTGGGCCTGCTCATGGGAGGTTGGAAAAGCATCAATTTTCTGTGACCTGAGGTCTCAAGTGTAGACATGATGTTGTCTTAGTTTGACTCTTTGTCTCGAGAAGTTGGAGACCTTCTGCTGGTAGAGGTACATTTAAGCACGACGTGGTACAAATGTCATTACCGAGCCCTCCTGAATTGCTGCAGGCAGAGCTGTCTGTGGCCATTACAACACTGGACCTCTGCCAAGACCAAAACCTCTTATTCCCACCTTAATCTGTGGGAGAGAGGATGGATGGAGAGAGAGGGATAAAGGTGGGAAACGTGGGTGGAATCAGAGGGAGGGAGAGGGATCGTATTGAGAGGAAAAGTGTAGGAGAGTTGGAAAAATTAAGAAAGAAAACATAAGCAAAAGGTCAGCCAGTCAAGCATTGAACTGATAGAGTAAAGAGAAACTGAGCTGTGCAGAGGGAGGATGAGAGGTGGAAACCGAAGGGAGAAAAGCGAGGTTCATAGGGGAGGAAGTGAGTGATGGCAAGAGGCAGAGAGGGGGAGAAGTGTTCACTGGGGAACCACGGAGCAAAAGAAGGAGGGATGGATGGATGGATGAACGGATGAATGGAGGCATGGAGGAGAGGAGGAATAATGAGAATAACAGACAAGGGTGTTGACCACAAATCCCTCTGGATAGATCAGCAACACAGCCTGTAAGAGGGGAAATTAAATAAAATGCCGGAGTAGTGGGAGGAGGGTAGAGGGGGAGGCGAGGTGAGGAAAACGCAGGAGGGAGGTCGATGTCAAAGGAGAGAGCGAGGAAAGAGTTTGTGACAAATGAAGAAAGAAAAGCTGAGAGGAAAAAGAGAGGAACGGGACAAAGGGGGATATTATAAGGGTGCCATGTGTCGTTTGGTTTGTAACTTAACTGTCACACACACACACATACCAGGATTTAGCTGTCAAACACAGGTTACCTCCCCGAAGTCTGTGTGTGTATTTGTCCTTGTGGGATGAAATGAAAGGAGATGGGGGGGGTGTTTTACTATTTTATAACTCTATCCACACACATACACACAACACACACACACACGTAGCACGGACATTTGAATAATTCAGCGTGTCTGCGCTGGTCCTCACTGGCTGACTGACTGTGGCCCTGAAGGCTCACGACACAGCCACACACACACACACGCACACACACACCTGTTCTTTTCTTTCCCGTGAGGTATTCCTCACATATTCCTCGTCATGCTCTTTTTCTATCCTGTGGTTATGCGTTTGGGTAGTCACCTTTTGACTATAAACCAGAAGCAGCCACACAATATGTGTCCTTCTGCCCTGCACACTATTGTTATTCAGCAGAGTACGTAGGTGTGTGTAAATGAAGGAGAAAACAATATTCACTCCATGTCCATCACCTTTGACCTTCACTGAGAGATGAAAGTACCGTTTTAATCGGGAAGATTTCTCTTGCTTTGAATTGCTTTTCTATTGTTGATCTGAAGCATTTATTCTGGTTGTATTGGCCTGCGTGTGTGCGCGTGTGTGTGTGCGTGTGTGTGTGTGTGTAAGAGAGAGACCGACATACAGGAAAAGAGAGGTGTAAAGTTAAACATCTGTCCCCCCCAGTGTTCCTGGTGTCAGCTTGCCTTGTCTCACACAGGTGGAAACAGTGGTCCATTAACGAACCTGCACAAAACACCCACAAACACATAAACATACATACACAAACACAAACACAATAACCTGAGCTTGGTTACAGGTGTAGTTCATTAGCTGATTGTTGCAGGGGCCTTTTAGAAAGAGACAAGGTGCTGAATTCCAAATTAAGAGCATATCTTTGATGAAGGGTTTGCCTCCGCATGGCTCTCAACATGGCGCCGGCTGAGCTGGCGGCTAGCAGCTAACAGTCATAACAGCACAAACAACGGCAACAGTGCTGGCAGAGCTAACGTTTTTAACCTGGGAGAGAACCGGAGGGTTGGCGCTACGCTTCCGCAAACAACGGCGTTATACGTTGTAACCGCCGTATGAGCGCAGTGCAGAGGGTCGGTGATTAGTCAGTGTGGGCACGCTCACGGGACTCACATGCACTAAAATGCAGTCAGTTTACTGAAGAGATTGTAAAGCAGCAGTTATAACCGTGAAAGGTTTGCATCAAGCAGGAGCTGAAATACAGTAGCTGAGGAACGCTGATCATAGTAAAAAAAAAAAAAGTACACCAGACGTGTCCATAAACTGCATATAACAGATGGTAAAGGACAGTAGCAAGGTTACCACACAAACACAGGCACACATAAAATCAGACTCACACAGTGTGCACACTCTTATGTACACATACATAAAAGCACATACAGTACAGTGTGTGTGTGTGTGTGTGTGTGTGTGTGTGTGTGCGCACATTTGCTGAGGAAAAGTTTCAGTGCGCACCGAGGGAAATCAGAAAGCACCCACCAGCCCCCAACTCCTCAGAGTGAGAATTCATAATTACACTTTTACACACACACACACAGCTGTAATTACATACCACTGCCACAATCCCATTAAGTCTTCTGGGGCCTTTAGGCATTTTTCCATCATTTAACTGGTCACAGCCATTGTAAGGGCATGAGTTCACTGCATCTGACTTTGTATCATACACCCAGTGGGTCATGGGTTCAATTCCCAGCTGGCCTAGTAGCCTGCTCCTGTTCCTTCCAGTCACAAACCCCTTTCATCCATATTTTGTCACCCCTGACAAGCCCTGCTGTTTAATGGATTGGGAACAGGAAGAAAATAGTGAATTTACACACACTCCAAAAACAAAGCTATAAATGAGTACCCAAGCAAGTAATTACAAGGCCTTTGGCTCTGTTGAACGAGGTTCGCTGCTCTTTGTGATAAACACACTATGTTGTGTTTTCAGCACTGATGTAACTTAACAGAAAGAGTGTTAAAGACACCGAGGGAAAACAGCCTTTGAGGTTCTCTAATGAAAGAACAGGATATATTTTGTTTTCTTACATATACTGCAGTACAGCATTCTGGCAGAGAGGGGGTGTGGGGGGAAGAGATGTTGAAAAGAAAGTAAGAAAGGAGGACAGACAGTGAAATGATGGAGAGAAGGGCTGAAGCACAGCTGCGTCTTCCTGTGGTGAGAGAGAGAGAAAGAGAGAGAGACACACATGTCAGACAGACAGAGATGTAAAGTCTTGGTTTCAAGAGACAAAAATAGTGCTTCTGGCCATGTGCACTTGCATTCTGTTTCCTTTTTATCTGTATTTGTGTGTGTGTGTGTGTGTGTGTGTGTGTGTGTGTGTGTGTGTGTGT